CCGCTGGGTATTCCACAACAAGCATTGCTCTACATGTGGGATCCTTAAAAGCTAAACTAAACATAATAAAAAAAAAAAAAAAAAAAAAACAAAACAAAAGCAATGAGTTGGTCAATTTACACTTGAGTTACAGAAAACATCTAGCAGTCAAAATGGAAGACAAGATTTTCAAGGATTTTATAGTGATAATTTGAAGAAGCAATGAAGAATTCAGTTTTACCACTGTTAAATTTCAATTTATTATGGATCAACGAGGATTGTAAATCGGTGACGCATTTAGATAATCTGAATAAACAGCAAGCAGCGTCACCAGGGGTGTTTGGGTTAAAAGATAGGTACAGCTGAACATCGTCATCATAGATATGATACAAAATTGAATGCCGACGGATAATGTCACCAACGCAATGAATGTACAAAGAGAAAAGCTGAGGACCAATAACAGAGCCCTGAGGGACTCCGAAATTAACACGAACTTCATCGGACAAGGCATCCCTAACATGAACCCTGCAAGATTATTACTAATATAAGAATGGAACCAATTCTTTACAGTGCCATTAAGACCAAAATTGACATCAAGGCGCTACAAAAGAATATCATGGTCCACCGTATCGAAAGCGGCAGACAGGTCTAACAATAGCATAAAAACTGCATGTTTGTTATCAATAGCCCTAAGAATATCATTTTGCACACAGATTAGTGCAGTTTCTGTACTATGGGAACGTCTGTAGGCCGCCTGAAAGGTCGGCAAGGTTATTTCTATAGATATATGCAGCCAGTTGCGAAGAAACAACTTTCTCAATTAATTTGCCAATGAACGGTAAATTTGAAACCGGTCTATAGTTTGTAAGCAGTTGCTTATTAAGAGAGACCTTTTTAATAACAGGTGTTATAATAGCAGATTTGAGTGCAGTAGGGAAAGTACCAGTGGAGAGCGAAAGGTTAACAATCGAACACAAAACAGGCAGCAAGCAAGGTAAGTGATTCTTAGTTAACCAAGTTGGAAAAGGATCCAATGGACAGGTTTTCGACGGACAATTTAAAATAATCGATTGAAGATCAGCCTCAGATACAGGCAAGAAATCAGTAAAAGAACAGGTAGGTGCAGCAGTAGGAAACGTATCAATAAGCTCAGGTGGAGTGGAGTCATCAATTTCCTTCCTAATATCTGCAACCTTGTTGACAAAAGCTCTGCAAAAAGAGTTAGCAAGTTCAGATGATGAACCAGAGTCAGGTAATATAGAGTTGGGATTATTAAGAAGTTCGTTGACCGTTCTGTACATGTCCTTAACATTACAGTTCATGAGCCTGTCTTTGTAATAGTCAGCTTTAGAACTAGAAATGATGTTGACAAAATTTCGCTGCGCTTGGACATAATTAACGTAGTCAGCTCGCGATTTCGTTTGTCGCCACCGTCTCTCACACCGGCGACGCAAACGCCGAGCATCAATAACGGAATTGTTAAACCAATTATGCTTGTAGCGTTCAGCACGAGATCGAGTAATAGCCGAAGCATGCGCATCCAGCACATCGCGACAAGCCTGATTATAGTAGAGAATGTAATCATTAACATCCAAGTGATTTTGTATAAATACCAAGATACGTAGCCAGTGCAGCAAAGTCAATGGACTTATAATTGCGTGAAGTATGAGATATCTTGATACTATTGAAATTAGTCAAGTCTAACATGCAATGTATAACACAGTGATCCGAAATAATTGGAGGAAGCATTTTATAAGACTTCACCAAAGTGTCATCGTCCTTGACTATTAGGAGATCAAGTGTATGCCCCAGTTTATGAGTGGGACCAGAAACAAGTTGCTTATAATTGAGAGATGAAATAATTTCATTGAAACGTGCAACATCAGGCTTGTGCGGAGCATCATAATGAACATTAAAGTCACCAAGCACCAGTATCCTTCCTGGAAGAAGATCAAGACATCCGAGGAAGTCCTCAAATTCTACAAGGAAATCTGAAGTTTTTAGTAAGGCAGATGCAGGAGGTCGATAAACGATAACAAAGTTAACACCAGAACATGAAATAACAACATGCTCAAAAGACTTAGGTTTGAAAATGAGTATCATTCCTGAGATGAAGATTCAAATGCGTCTTGTAGACAGCTCCAATACCACCACCACGAGTGTTGACTCCTCTAGGAATATTGATGACAGAGTAATCAGGTGGAGTCATTTCACCGACTATGACTTGATCATCACCTCGTAACCAGGTTTCCGTCAAGAACATTATGTCAGTGTTATATTCCGTTAACAAATCACACAAGTGGTTGGTCTTGTTGCAAATCGATTGGGCGTTCCACAAACCAATCCTAGTACCATTGCAAAACGAGGAGTCAGAAGAGTTTAGATGTGTATCAGCACTTAAATCAAGTTCAGCGCGAATAGCACGCAGATGTTTTTTCCGTCCTCCTCTACATCCCCGCAGAGTGGAAGGCTGACGTTGAATTCCAAGTAAGCATATGTGAGACCAGATATGTGCCGGCAACCTCACAGAGAAGTTGGTATTTGGTAACTCAGCCATCTGGGTCTTACTATACACCATAGTGGTATAATTTGCATTTGAATACACACTGACTGTAAACAAGTGAGTAAATCCAAGGCACAGGAAAAACAATGCAAAAGACCTGGTCAGTCGCCTATTGTTTAGGCATGGTTCAGGCAAGATGTATAGTGAAGTCCAAAACAGCATAACCTACAGTAAAAGTTCAAAAACTCAATGAAAAAATGTACAGAAAAGCCAATTCCAGGGCCAAACTTATATAAGTTACTCAGAGAGTGATTCAGCTTAACAAGAAGGCACAAATTGCAGAATAAATTGTACATATAATCCACAGAGATAGAGCAAGTTGATAAGCTGCCAGCGAGGCGCAATACATTCTAATATATAGCTCCTTAGGATGAAAGGTGACCCCCCCCCATTTTTATTACATATTCTGAAAGCACTTAAGTTGTAAATATGATTTTATAGATCATAATGGCTGATCGGACATTGTGACGTCATCATATTGCAATCTGAATTCAAAGAAAGTGAATTTTAGCTATGACGTAATTTTTGAAAATACGCATTTGAGCGTATCTCGTTTATCCTTGATCGATCGTCTTCCAACTTTGAGAATGTTATAGCTGAAAAAATTCTCTTTCATATAAGACTTCTTTTTACATTTTGATGACGTCATCATGGTAAAAAAAAATGTTTTTTCTGACCCCCCTCATCTTTCTTTCCTCAAAAGGTTAATGAGCCCATATCATCTTAACCATTCGTCATTTCTGAATCATATTAAAAGTGAGCATAATCTTCAGGTCAAGGTTGAATGTCATGTACCTTAATTTTCTGTTTGCGCTTCTAAGCGTGCACGTATGCGTGCGTCAACATTTATATATGCTTAAAACCATGAATATTTTAAATCAGTTATACCTCCTTAGGATGAAAGGTAACCCCCAATTTTTATTACATATTCTGAAAGCACATGAGTTGTAGATATGTTTTTATAGATCATAATGGCTGATCGGACGTTGTGACATCATATTGCCATTTGAATTAAGAAAAAACTGAATTTTTATTTATGACGTCATTATTTTTATACTCGTTTGAACGTACAGTATCTCGCTTATTCTTGATTGATCGTCTACCACCTGGGAGTATGTTATAGCTGAGGCAATTCTCTTTTGGAAGTGTCCATTTATTTTTCATTTTGATGACGTTATCATGGTAAAAAAGAATGAATTTTTGGAGCCTTTTCATCTCTCTTTCTTCAAATTTATCAAATATCATTGACGATAGAGGGCGGCAGACTGTATTTCAATGCTATCAGATTGATATATGTACATTATGAAGGGAAAACTTGTGTGGCATTACCAACCAACAGTTGTTTTTAAATTACTCTTGACAAGGATCAATTTCACTTTTCAGATAATTTAAATCACGTTTCAGGTCATTTTCAGCATCCCAAAACTTTCCATATTTTACGCACCGTACGCTCATTTCCACGCGCACTTCACGTACTGAAACTGGAAATTACGTTTTGTTACATGTTTTGGGTTCCTGAAACTGTTTTTATAACAGGGGCCACATTTAACAAACTAGAATTCAGCTTAAATTCGTCAAGTACATTTTTTTGCTTAAGTCAAATTTATCAATATTGCTTAGCTAAAAAATTTCTTAAAATTAGAAAGATTGTACGTGGGCACCATCTAAGACGATTTTTATGCTAAGATTGGGTAATAAATCAGCTTAAGATATTTATTAGGGACATCTTAACTTTTTTGACTTAAGACATTTGCTAAGCTGAGATTAATAAATACCGGGCCACAAGTAAACTTTTTGTGCCATTAAAATGTGCACAGGCGTCCGCGTATGCACATGTAAATCTTTTCAAATGTTTAATATTACACTTTAAAAAAAACTAACTAGAGCATATTTTAGGCCATTTGGAGCATTTAAAAAAATTTCAACCCATACCGTTCGCGCTTCCTGAGGGTCAAAGTTCGGCGGATTACCAAACTCGTCCTCAGTGAGTTCAAATCTAGTTACATGTTATTATTGACACTCAAAAAAAATCTTTAAATTTTTATATTTGATAGCTCATTTACTCAACCTGTGCGACAACATGATGACATGCCTCAGATCTCTATTATTTGGCAATACTAGTTTGAATTGATTTTTTGTAACCAATTTTTAAAATCCACCCATTTTTAATGAATTTTACGTAAAAACATAAAGCCCTACCGAAAGAAATCCACCCATTTTTAATGAATTTTACGTAAAAACATAAAGCCCTACCGAAAGACCTTCATTGCTAGGCCTCTGCTTGCAGCAAGTGGTATGTAAACTAACAAGGCTTCCACAAACTAGGCAGAGTGTTGGGCTCCTGCGGACAGCAGTACATAGACTACATGTTAGTTTGCTATAGTACTGGAACAACTTGCTGAATTCTTGTGGCAGTTGAATTAGATGTGGTGCCAAAAAGTTTATGTGATTCAATGCCAGCAGTTGCTATGAAGAGATATGCAAAAAAAAAACCATGATGATTCATTTATCATTTATTTATTCATTTTTTTTTTCATTTATCTGTTACGATTTCCCTCTTATATTAAATTGACTTTGATCTAATTGTATACATTTTTTTTAAATCTATTTGAATATACATTTATTTCATTTCATGTTAACAATCATACCTTAATAAAACTGTATTAAACTAATACATGTATTTTTATTCTTTAAATCTACATACATTATACATTAGATTGCAAGGTATAAACTGCCACCATATCCAATCCTCACAACATGAAGCATACTACAGTAAATCCAATGGCAATGGCATAACTTCAGTCCACTTGGACTGTCATATCCAAACACCAAAAGAGATCCTCTTCATTTGATTGGAAGATTTCTTATGTTATTTATACACCATTTCATCTCACTTACTAATTGTTATCTATCTTTCAAGAAATAAAAATATTCTTCCCATTGCACTCATAAATATTCATTGTTTGTATACAATTGCACTATTGTTGATGACCATACACAAACTACTTTTTGTTTTATTTAAAGAAGAGCATTTTCCTGACCTGTGTTTCTGAGACAGACTGTTTTGCCACTTCATCTAGTTGCATACACCATTTAGTGACGGTTGCAAGTACACCTGCATCAACAGGCCCTTTGATTTCATCTGATAATTTCAAGAATTTTAATAGGACTTCATATTCTGATTCTGTTCCCTACAAGATAAAATATTAATGTCAATGAGTGTACCAATGAATATTCAAGCATTCCTTCATCGCTTCTATTAGATGATAAATTGCCATAGAGGTGGTGTTATGCTCGCTATTTCTAACCATCTGGAGCAGGAACTATTGTTTTGCCTAGAAACACTTGTACTGAAATTGTTTTGCCAAAATAATACTGGGAAATGATACGTGGTTGTGCGGGAGTTACTACAAACCACCGAATGAATGCAAGTATACGATCATTGGAATTGGTCCTGGAATCACTTAATGCTTATGGGCGATTTTAATGTTGATTGGTTGCCTAATGGTAGAACATCTCTGCTTAAAAAGTAGCTTCAGAATTTGATTGATTTATACTGCTTTGAACAGATGGTAACTGAGATAACACATTCATCCAATGATTTAATAGAGTTGTTGATGTTGAAATTGATCTGGCCTAGGCAGGCGCATAACAGGGGTCTTGGGTCAGGGGGGAACAAAGGTAATAATTTCAGTCTGCCCCCCTGCCCCCCGCCTGTTATGCCACTGGGCCTAGGAAATTTGGATCACAGTATTGCGTCATTTAAATTTTGTGGTGCATCAGTTAATTTAAAAAGCATTGTTTGCCGTCCTTCCAATATAACAAAGCAGATGTGGAGCATTTTAATGAACTGTGGCTAATGCAACTTGGGATTTGATTAAATTCGATGATATCAATGCTGCATGGCAAGATTTTACTAACATGTTTTTCAATTGTGTAAATGAATGTAATCCAATTCGAACTTCTTGCAAAAAAGCAAAACCATGGATCACAAAAGATGTGCATAAATTAATTATAAAGAAGAGGACCCTTTTCAAGAAGGCGTGTCATACTAAGACCATAATGCTTATTATAGTAAGTAATTAGGAACAGAGTAAGTTTAGAGACCAAACTACTTACAGTAACCACATCACAAGTATTTTTCAGGGGAGGGATAACAGAAAACTATTTTGGTCCTTTATCAAATGCAGACGGAAGACAAAACTTATCGGTGATTCATTTATTATTAATGGTAAAACTATTAATAATCCGTCTTTAGTTTTGCACTGCACCACTTCAGTTTTGCACCGAACCACTTGACTTCTGCACTGCGACTGACTTTTGCACTGCGCCACTTGTAATTTGTCCTTTTGGCGTTCCATACAATTTAACCTGCAGACAATCGCCATCTATCTCCACATTCCGGAAAAATCTCTCAATGACATTTAGATATCAATAATTTGTAATGTTCAACCTTTATACCATTGTCATTTTTGTTATGATCACTATACTGTATTATGATTATTATACTTTGGTGATCCGCTTCTCGAGCGGATCACCTCTTGTTATTGTCAGGATCTTTTTTTTCTTTTTATTCTTCTTTCTTTCTCCCCTTTTCTGTTCGCACGATATCTCAAAAAATACCACGAGTTACGCACAATCGCTGTCAACGAACATTTAGCTTGGTCTGGAATAGTCATTGTAAGCTTTTCAACGCGCTCAGTCATGCGTGACGTCATCTACGCGCAATTTTGCATTTTTACATTATCGATCATATCAGCCTAAGCATTAACGAGCATTAACTTCGGGTTAATGTTGAATGTGTTGTACCTTAATTTTACGCGTGCGCTTCATTACGCGCGAGTACTCGTGCGTCAAATTTTTAAAATACTCAAAATCACTTTTTGACTAAATTAGAGCATGTTTCAGGCCATTTTGAGCATTTCGAAATTGTTTGAAATTTTCTCTAAATTCCTGATATGCTCTGTGTCGGATGAGCCAGAGAATGGACATCGTCCATTATTGCACATGTCCCTTCTAGTCCTGCTATCACTTGTTCTATGAATCGCTGCCATATGGCTGGACTCGAAGAAATTCCAAACGGTAATCTCGTGTATCGGTATAAACCGCGATGTGTGTTTATCGTTACTACTTCTTGTGCCTCGTCTTCCAAAACTAACTGTTGGTATGTACATTTCAAATCAATTTTTGAATATTGTTTTCCTCCCCCCAGTTTAGTAAATACCTCCTCTGGAGTTGGAATTGGATATTGATCACAATGTAAACTTGGGTTTACTGTTACTTTATAGTCTCCACAAACGCGTACTCTTCCATCGGCCTTTGGAACACAGACCAATGGGGTCGCCCATTGACTAAAATCCACTGGGTAAATCACTCCTTCTTCCTGCATCCGGTTTAATTCTTGCTCAACTGCCTGGCGAAGTGCAAAAGTGAGTCAACAAAAATGTCATTACCTGATGTTTCATAGTCATCCGGTGTTGCTACCTCGTCGAGTCGTCGAGTACTATTTTTGTGTCCTCGATTGGGTTGCATTTGTTTACATTCCGATTTCAAATGTCCCTGTTTATTGCATTTAAAACAAGTGGCATATTTATGCCTACATGTGTTGTGTTGTTTTTTTAATTTCCTGATGATAGCCTTTCACATGTTTATGTCCCTAAAATATCATGTCGGCCGTTTTTATGTGTGATAACAGAACCTAAATCGAGGTAAGGCTAGGCCTAGCAGCGTTGGATAGGCTAATGTTTCGGCGCCTACGATATTTCTTCTCACGACCTATTGCAAAATCAAAATAAAAAATTCATCCGCATTTATTTTTTGTGTGAAACACAAAAAATCAAATTTCAGTCTTATTTTACATTTTTTTCATTCTTAGGAATGTCTAAATTCAGTTAAACTAGCAATTCCGTATTATA